TGGTTGATTTGAGCCCAGATAATCCAGTTCTAGACCGCTTCTTCCATAATCACAGAATATAGTATGACACATGGAAGAGATACTTAATGATACTTAATATGTTGGTATGTAGCCAGCTGATGGGAAATAATTATAATCATAAATGTAAAAGTCCCATCTCAACTATATTTTATAAATTCAGTGGCAGAGTACATATAGTAATAGATGGTGATGAGATCCGTAACTATGTATCGACTGTTCCTGAGCAAGGGCTTTAGAAACTGATTGAAATAGCCCTGAGAAACAGTGTGCAATCACTGGCGTATCATATGAGTGTGTGCATTCAGAGATGGGTAACTGAGACACAGGGGCTCTGGAACAGGCTTGAGAATTACATAGGAGGATAGTGACCGATGGATGACTGAGGTAAAAGGTATTGTCACACCTAACGCAAAGGTTTCTGGCTTGAGCAACTGGGTAATGATCAAAGCACTCACTGTGTCTTGAAGCACAAGAGAGACAGCGGGAGAGGTAAATCTAGCTCTGTTTGCTCTGACTTTGAGATGCCTATGTGATATCCCAGTGGAGATGTCCAGAACAGTATGTGTGTTGAAGATTCAAGATAAAAATAGGGGCTGAATAAATCAACTAGGGACTTGCCAATACATAAAGAATAATGACATGTAAATAAATGAACCACATCCTGTGCTGAATGAAAGGAAAAGAACAAAGAACAGTATTTGAGAAATGTGAGGATAGGAAGGGTTTTGTAAAAGTGAAAAGAAATGGCCAGAGAGATAAGAGGAAAACTAGTGAAGGATAATGTCCTAGCAATTAAGGAAAAAATATTAATTGTGTAAAATATTTTTCTGAAACTTAGGACTACTCTTGAGAGATATTGATGCCCTTGCAAATTTCTTGCATGTAACGTAGAACGCATGCAAATGCCTTACAAATCTAGATGTTCAGCAGCCAATGAAAGTTTCTGATCAGATTCTGTCAGAAATCAGTATCAGAGGTATAAAACATAGCTACATCATACTTATCAGCTTCTTTGAAGATGGTGATTATAGTGACATCCTTGAAAGCTTAGAAAATTTTTCCAGTCCTCCATTTTTTTGAGAAAAGTCTGCTTATGTTTGGAAGAGACTATGCACAAAAGAATACCGTTGCTTAGATTATAGGTAGTACTTATCGTTTTTCCTCAAAATTGTATTTATGTTTTTTGTTAGTCTTTATAATCTGAAAAAGGATCTGTGATAACTGTACAGGGCTTATGCTAACCCCTGCCACCACTTGTCACTTCAGAGTGTCATCAAGTATGACAACTCTTTTTAAATTCTTTTTCCTTCTTCGCAACTGAAAGTGGCAACTTCTTCAAATGTAAGCATTTAGAGACTTGATGCTTAATCTTTGTAAGACTTTATTAATTCATTGATCAATGTATTTATTTCACAAATATTTATAAAACATCTGATGTTTCAGACATTATGCTAGAGCTAGGGGCACAGAGATGAACAAAATAGAAACTGTCGCTTCATTGATAGAGAATGATAAAACCTTTGATAGGAGGACTGCCATATAACAATGTGTTTATATCTCATGCACATTTATAAGTGGTATCCTAGGAATGAAAAAAAAAAACTTTCCCATTTTTACGATTTATAATGGACTGCACTTATGCCTCATTAACGTCGCGAAGTCTTAGTTATGGTGATGGTCCTCATGTCTCTAGTTCTCTCTTAGTCTTAACCTTTCGCCTCCATTTTTTGGAGTGGGTGGTGTTATATTGCATAAAGGTACTGAAATCTACTACTCTGCATTTCCGTATACCATGCCCACATCTTCTCCCCTTAAGAGAGTAGTGGTGGGAAAGGGAACTAACCTGACCAAGTATTCCAAGACAGGACTGGTTTCCTTGACTTCACAACCACAGTAAAGAATGACTGATAGGGAAACAAGGGACAACCAAGACAAAGAGGCTGCCAAGCAAATTACAGAAAACTAGCAAATCCCAGGATTTATAGCCTGGACAAAGCAACTCTAGCTTCAAATCTGGAATTCACGTCTGGTGAGACTAGACTGAAAACAGAGCTAGGATGAGTTCAGGATGAATGTAAACAGTCATTTGTGTAAAAGCAATAGAAGGCTTAGAGCACGCCTTCTGGAGAAAGCTGAAGCACGGAAGCAGCAGGTGGGTTATAGCACTGGGAAGCTAGTGGGGAAAAATAAGATGTTGAGCATGCTGTATTTCTCATAAATATCTTGCTGGTAATGGTGTATGAGGAGACTTCAAAATGTTTGTGGAAAATGGAGTTAAACTGTGAGTTTATTTTGGTGCAAAAAAATAGAAATCCATGAATCTTTTAAATGCACGTTTTCCACGAGCTTTTTGAAGACCTCTCCTAATATTGATAGAGTTAGCATATTGTCCATTCACTGGATCTATAGCTATGGAGTTATGTAGGCATAACCATTTCCTTGTAATCTGGTAGGTGGAGACAGACTTCATTTATGGTGGGTTTGAAGGAGTCCTAAATATGGTCATGTAAATTGTGCAGTGAAAACCAGGGTCAAATGTTCAATAGATGTGTACAGTGTTTCGAGTTATCTGATGTATTTGTCTTGATGTTGGGTATATTTTTGTCATACAGCTTCTCGTGGTCTCTCTTCACCTTTCAGAATCTGAAAGGTCTTCAGACCTTTAGGATAGAAAAATAAATGCTTATTTCTTCTGTACTTATTGTGTCTGTCTTTTCATTATACTTACTTATTCTTGTTAGATATATACATCTAATATGCTTATTTCTATACTTCAATACATCAAAAGCTATTGCTCTTATTTCTTCAGTGTTTAAATAGCAAAAACGATAACACATATACTCATATCCACCATATTTAATGCTTTATTTAAGAATTAATTGCAGTAGATTATTCTAATAGGATACAACATGTTCTTGTTGTCAAAGGCATATATTTTGGGCTACCATTTTAAAAGATTATGTTGATAATCAAAAATGGAAATATTTAAGTAACATTTTAATATTGCAAATGCATTAGCTTCTAATGAAACTATTTTTATGAAGTTGCTCCTTCACTTGTGATTGACATTTTTTGCCATTGCCCAACTAGTTTATATAATTCTTCTGTGACTGTCAATGCTCCTCATACTTTAACTTATATTTAATATTGTACTTACAGTAGAATTCAAGTTATCCTTTAACAATCTGTTGATGTAAATAAAGATTGTATCCTCTACATTGCTTAGTTTTTATAGACAAACTTAAACCCAAAATATCTTCACTGTAGAGGCAAAAAGAAAAGAAAAAGAAGGGAACAATAGAAAATAAAGGTTATATTAGTGTATTGAAGTCAGATAAGAGAACTGGGATAAGCTAAGAAAATAATTATAAAATCAAATTTTAAGGGGCTGGCAGGTGACATGGTGGTTAAAGTCCCTGGACTCCCATATGGCTGACCACTGTTCAAGTCCCAGACCTGGATATTTGCTTTCTAAATCTCTCTCTCTCTGATCAAACTGGAAAATAATAATAGTAACAGTAATAATATTAGATAAAGTTACATAAAATAATTCTTTAAAAAGTCAATTTTTTAGAATATGGATTTAGAAGACAATCTCTCCTTTTATAAATTTACATCTGTTTTTCTGAAAGAGTATGTAAGCCAACTACTACTTCAGAAGTTTATCTTTCCTTTATCTACAGTGTGAACAGCCAGATAAATAAATAGTTCAATTATTTATATTCTAAACACTTCAGATTTCAATGAGCAAAGTCATAGTTACCTGGGGGCAGACTGTGAAACAACTAACATAGGTCCAGACAAGGGAGTTCACAGGAAAAATAAATAAATAAAAAATTAATTGACATGGATTTTAGATTTGGAGGGCCATAAGTAAATTCTATTTGATTTGATTGTTTAAAATAAAATCTTACTAATTTTTAAACTTTGATATTATTACAGCATAGTTTTGGCAAGATACTAAGGTGAAGACAAAAATAATTTTGACATTTGAAAACAGAACATTGACTAGAAGGATTGTCTTATTTTCTAATTCTTATGAGTATACATTGAACTGTGATTTTTTTTCAAGGTCTGCACAGGAAGAAAATGGTCACCCTCGGAAATTCACATAGGCTCGTTCTTCCTTTGCCAGATCTCTGATAATCAGGATCCTTCCTGCCAAGGATTGTCTTCCTTCCAATAAATAAAGTTCAGTTATTAAAGAAAGAAATCCTTTATTTCCAAATCAAATTCACGAGAAGACACATTTCCATCCCTGATTATGTCTTCATGTTTTCAATCTGCTATTTTTAGTCAAATACAATGTTTTCCTTGGATTATTAAAAAATAAAAATAATTTAGTTTATTTTTTTGACTACGTAACCCTTAGTTTGCAAGTCATAAAGTTTTTTTCTGAGACTTATTGGATGAATGATATGTAATGTATAGTATACCCTTCTTAGCAGTATTATAATCATTTTGAAAACGGAAGTATGATAATGGGTTAATATATCATTCTTCTCTTCTCAAGCTACCTGGCTTGAAACCTTCAGTATGGGTAAGAGATTTCTCCAAAAGTAACATTTACTTAGGTTAAGTGTCAAGTTGCAAGCTTACACTGTATAAAAGTCAATAAGTACCAACTCATACTAGTGAGTTTCATCTACACTGCTAGGAGGTTGTTGAACTCAATTACAGAACTGTGCAGAGCTCTATTTGATGTGTGACGAGGTTAGGAGACCACAATCAATTAAAAAGAACACATGTATATCCTGTTCTGGGGAAACAGTTGTTACAGTATCCCTTGTTCTGCTTCTGTTTTTTTCTCTGAGTTTTCCTCTGTACGTAGGAGAACAAAGAGTTTAATAATTCCTCAGTTTCATTTGGAATTGTTTTTCAGCAGTATCTAGTAGGAAATCATGAGATTGTTGTTTTACTTGAATGAAGCTTCAGGCGGCTACAATTAAACATGCTGTCTTTTTTTTTTTTTTTCCTAGCAAAACCATTTGAAAATGGACAATATTTGGACATCTATGGCATTACAAGGGACCAGGCTGGGGAATATGAATGCAGTGCAGAAAACCACGTGTCATTCCCTGATGTGAAGAAAGTAAAAGTCGTCGTAAACTGTAAGTCTCATTACCTTTTTCAAGCTAACTTCTGAAAAAAGATAGAATGCTTTGGTCAATACTGTCTGGAATTTGTGTTGCTGCATTTTAAGAGGTGGACTCTTGGGACTAGTAGTTAGCGTAATGGCTATATTGCTGAACTCCCATGTAATCAACCGTGGTTCGGGTCTTGGACCAGGTGGCTTCAACTCATGTCGAGCACGTGTGTGTGCGTGTGTGCTCAGGATCCCGAGAAGAGAATAGAAGAGAAGGGATTGCGGCGCGGCCACCCCCCCTGGGGGGTGATTTCTCGCTTTCTGTCTCTCTGTCTCTCTCTGTCTTTCTGGCAAGCGCACCTCTCAAAAAATAAAAAATAAAAAGAGGTGGACTCTTGGTAAAGATCACCTACTGAAATGAAATGTGAAATGACAGTGAAGCTGTGTACATGTTGGAAGATTGATCAAATGATTTTATGCAACATCAATTGTCCTTAGTATCCCAATACTACTTCAGTTCGGGGTACAGGTTGAGATGCTTTTAATATCACCTTAGTTTCTGGCATTCCAAACTTGTGGAATCCTTCTCTCTAAAACTCTATAGAACATGCCATTTTCTTCCTGGTGAGTTTTCTCGAAAGTGGACTCAAACGAAATCCCAGTGTGCAACTCTCAGTGAAACCCGGCGGGCATGGAGTGTTCTGGTGTATGCTAAAGGAGAAAGGGTGATGCTTCTGTTACTTGGGTGATTTAATCCTACTTAGTGTGAAAAATACTAAGAAAACCATGAATTTTTCCATGACCTTAAGTTAGACACCTAGAGAACCATCAATGCCATTATGCCCTGTCTTAAGTCCCCTCAAAACACTCGTCTAGGAGAGCTTTTCAGTAAATTCCTGTTGCATCCTATTGCTTGTCATCTCAACGGCAGTAACGGCAGTGAGTTTTACTTTTCATAAATACTCCCTTACTCTTTCTTTCCAAAAGGTTCGCATCATTTAACTTTTTCAAATAAAATACCTTTGGGATAAGAATATTTTACTGAAAGTACTGATAATGTCTATCTAGTATTGTACAGCAGATCAGAAGAAATTGTTCCAAATATATCCAGAAATGCTACAACTAATCAGAAGTTGTTTCATATTAGTAGGACTCTTTGAGTCTCATGGACTGAAAACTAATTTTCAAAACACTCCTGGCAGTCCAGCTGTCTGCCAGAGCAAATCACTGTCATCAGCTAACATTTGTTGGTGACTAATCTATATACTTGGGATTGAACTGTCTCTATTACACTGAGTGAATGTGTATAATAACAGATCAGGAAACGGTTTCTGAGTAGGATTTCTCATGGAGTGTGCAGACTAACAGCAGAATCACCCAGGCAACTCAGTACAAGGAGAAACTTTCTGGGTCCCACATCAGCCTACCGAATTAGAATCCTTGGGGGGTGCATGGCCTGGAAATCTGCATGCTGACCAATTTCCATTGATCTCAGGGTCTCTGTTGCAGAGGGCTGCTCATCCCTCTGGAGCTCTCTGAAATAAGAGGTAACAAACAAATAAGATATTCCTGGTCATTTTATCACTAGTCATGTTTATCTAAATATGCATGTACTGATTTTATATTTGCAAAGTTGGAAAGACACAAACAGGACTGTTAATTAAGTGATATTTTTAGCAGTGAGCAGTAAGAAATGAAAAAATAGAGTCAAAAGTATCACACACACACACACACACACACACACACACACACACACACAAAATAAATAAGCCCGGCACCCAGCCCAACAATGCAACCCACTCTCAAACTCCCAAAATCAGTAGGTGTTTAAAATGATGTTTCTGATAGGGAAGAACTGAAAACCAGCTGCCATATAGATTTGCAAAGGATCATACTTCAATATATGACCTAGACTTTCCTTATTATTCACTCCGTCCTTTTTAATCCCTCTGACTCTAGCTCATTGTCACTTATCTGCTCTCCTTTTCTCTTTAAAGCAAGTGGAAACTTTGGGCTGAGGAAGGTCAAAATAAGGAAGCAGTACCTTGGCAAGAAACTGAATCAAAAGAAAGACAAATCAACTAAATTAGTCATCATGTAAGGGGTCTGAGTGGAGAAGAGAATGCATCTGTAAAAAAAAGAGACCGAAACTGAGGAAATAAAAGATGTCACCAACTGTGGAGAATCTGCTGCAGTTTCACAGAGGCTGGTAGGAGACAGGGACAAAAGGCCTCTTATTTCTCAAAGCAGTAACGTTTGCCAGAGTATTGCCATTTTCTTGCATTAGTTTCACAAACCCCAATTACTACAGGGTGACACGATGCAGGATAGGTGACACCTGTGCACACAGTGGCTTTATGTCAGAGCTGAGGCATCTTGCACTTAGGAAACTCAATTTGTCTTATAATGACAACAAGAAAACCTGTCCTTTGCCATGGAGAAAGAAATTATCTTTATTATACTGGATTGTAAACAAATCTGCCCTTTACTCCACTGGGAGAACTACTTTTGTCTCCCAAGACTGAAGACGGAAACAAAAGCTCTCACTGCCTCTGCTCATAAGATGGAAACACAAACTGTCCATGAAGAACTGGATTCTAACCCAAGATGAGAGCAGGGAAGTTTGAAGCTAAGCCTAGACATTCTATCAAATGACGAAGATGTGCTTTTTTTTTAGGTTTATTTATTTTATTCATAATAGAGAACATGGGGGTACACAAGAGAGAAGTCCTTTCAACAGGGTCTGCCCACACTACATCCCCTTTCCCCAGTCCTCTAACTCTTCAGGATTCTGGGCATTTGCACTTACCCAAAGGTTTTCAGGGCCAATGGGGATCTGAACCTGCCACTGGTCATGTGGTTACCAGCACTGCAATTCAGTTTGCTACTGACTGCACTGCCAGTCTGGGCCAAAGGGTGCCTTTTTTTAAAAGAGTTTAGACTCCTGGGAGCCAGCAGTTAGCGTAATGGCTATGTTGCTGGACTCCCACGTAGTTGACCGCGGTTCGCGTCCCGGACCTGGTGGCTTAAAACTCACGCCGGGCGCATGTGCATGCGTGCCCAAGATCCCGAGAGGAGAATGGAGGAGAAGGGATTGCGGCGTGACCATCCCCCCTGGGGGGTGATTTCTCGCTTTCTGTCTCTATGTCTCTCTCTGTCTGTCTGGCGAGCGCACACGCCCTATAGCGAAAATCTCTCCAAAAAAAAAAAAAAATAGTTTAGACTCCTTAGAATTGGTAGGAAAGAATAACTGTTAATCATTCTAATTTAAGAGGGAAAATAGGAAGGATAAAGATTAAAGTAAAAATAAAAAAGGTGAGGGGTGCATTTTCAACTATTGGGTTGTCAGAAAAAGCATGATGTACTTTTGCATAGAAAAACAGAAAAATATGTCATGACTTTTCCAACAACCCAATGTAATACAGACTACCTTTTGAAAGAACTAACTTCAAATAAGTAAAGAAGAATCATAAGTAGACCGTGTTACTGCAGACAAACTATAAACTTTTCTCACATCCCACACACAAAAGAAGCCAATAGGATTTTTGAATCATTTTAAACAATCAGTTTTGTCTCCTGTCCTTCCCTGGATCATACTTTTGACAGTTCACCTTTCCCTGAATGTTCCGTAAAAATCTATGTTCAATGCAAGTAGTGTTTAATACTTACTATGTTTAATACTGCGTCATATGTATATAAATGATATCTAAAGTGCATAGGTCTGTAAGTATGAATATGTGTGTTGCAATTGGGTTCGCATAGCGATTTTGTGACATTTCCTCTTGGAAAGCCAAACGCTGAGAGTTACCTGTGGATTATACTTACGTAGTTTCCCAAACCATATTAGCTAAAGCCTACTGAACAAACTTTAGTTTGACAAAGCCCCACTTTAATTTGCCAAAACCCGGAACTGAGCACAGCGGCCTATGGAGCTGTACAGTCCCTCGTAACCTGAAGATTCCTGACAGATAGTGCTAAGTTCAAGGTAGTCCTTTCATTTCATGATTATTAATCAGCATTGTACATGTGGAACTGAAGTAGCTACATGACTTACAATGTGAAGAGAAACTTGGCTCCTTTTCCCAAATGGGGTTCCAGATAAAATGTAATACATGTTTTTCATAAGCTTAGGTAGATTCAGTTTTGTGGTAAGTCAATTCGAGAAAGAGATTTAAGTTCTTGCAAGTTATAAATATTTAATGTTTTACATTTTTTCTAATATATTTGCCACATTCACTATACAAAGAAAACAAACATTCATAAATAACATCATATTTGCCACATGCTTTGTACTTATACCTCTTGAGTATGAATTTTTATTCAATTTAATTAAATAGTAGTTTGGTGAACTGATTGATATAATTGACTTATATAGCTTGGGCTAAGTGGTTTATTGAAAAATTAGTTCATTTTAGGCTATTTACAAAAAGATTTACTAGATAGAAATAAATCCGTAGATTGTTAGCCATTAATGCAAAGTGTTATTTATGAGCAGGAGGATTGTAGGTGATCATTCTCCATGTATTTCTCTGTATTTTCTTTTACCCATGTGTGTAAGAGAGAAAGACAGTATGTGTGTATGGTGTGTATTTCTTGTCAGATTTAAAAAGAAACCAAATTAATAAGAAGGAATTGTGAAAATTATTATAATCAAACCCTGAGAGGTTTACACACACACACACACACACACACACACACACACCACACAAACAAAAGGACAAAATTTAGAGTAGTCTGAGTTAAGCCATAGGAAGCTAGCAGATCTAAACTTGAGTTCTAATTTTATTTGCATTTGGGTTTTATCTTTACTCGTAGGCTACTAGTACTAGGCCCCTGTTTTTTACTGTTCATTACAAGTAAATGAGGAATGAATGTGTTCCAAGAAGCTCATGGGTTCAACTGAATTGAGATAAACAAGAACCAGTGAAAAGTTTCATTAAAAAAGGATAGATCTAAATCTAGATCAGCAAAGTTAACTCATTTGGAAGCCAAAGCCAGAATCTGTAAAATGTAAGAAGTATCTGA